GCTCTGAGCCATCAGCCCAGAGCCCGACGCGGGGCTCGAACTCCCGGACCGCGAGATTGTGACCTGGCTGAAGTCGGACGCTTAACCGACTGCACCACCCAGGCGCCCCAGGATTTTTAATGTAATCATAGCATTATCACACTCAACAAAATTGCCGGTAATTCCTTAATATTGTATTCAAATTTTCCTGATTGTTTGAAATATGTCCTTTAAGATTTTATTTTCTTATTTTTATTTTTTTATTGTTTATTTTTGAGAGACAGAGCATGAGCAGGGGAGGGGAAGAGAGAGGGAGGCACAGAATCTGAAACAGGCTCCAGGCTCTGAGCTGTCAGCACAGAGCCCAACTCGGGACTGGAACTCATGAACTGTGAGATCATGACCTGAGCCGAAGTTGGATGCTCAACCCGACTGAGCCACCCAGGCGTCCCTAAGATTTTATTTTTAAGTAATCTCTACACCTAACGTGGGGCTCAAACTCACAACCCCAGGGTCAAGAGTTGCATGCTCTACTGACTGAGCCAGCCAGGCACTCCTGAAACGACCTTTTTACAGCTGGTTTTATTTTTTTCCCCTATAGGGTCCAAATACAATTTACCGTTTGCATTTGGCTGATTTGTCTATTCAGTCCTTTTTAATCTATGACACTTTTCTTTCCCTCCTCCTCTCTCTCTCTCTCTTTTTTTTTTTTGATGTTTATTTGTTTTAAGAGAGCGAGCAGGGGAGGGGCAGAGAGAAGAGAGAATTCCAAGCAGGCCCCGCACTGTCAGTGCAGAGCCTGATAGGGCTCTCCCTTCCACTCTTCCCTTCTCCCTTTCCTGGATCAGTGGACTCATGGGGCGGGGGGAGTGGCAGGAAAGGTGGGGGAAGAGTTTTCTTACCTGTCTGTGCTAAAATTGGAGGGGACGGATCCATAATCCCATCCTCTTCCATTTATTCCAATAAATGCTTCTGTGTATCAGACAGCGTTCTTCAGTGCTTTACAGAGATCACGTGTGTAACTGCACGAAGTAGACCCTTTTGTTATCTCCCTTTTAGAGACAGGGAGACCGAGGTACCGAGAAGTTAATAGGCAACATGTCCAGCGTCACTCAGCAAACAAGTGGCAGAGGTGGGATGTGACCCTCATGCCCGTGTTCTAACCACGAGGAGTGGGAGTTTACGCAGCCTGGCGCTGGCACTAGTTACGGTTAATGCCTGCTGTCCTGTGAGGTGGCTCTCCTGTGACCCTCCTGACATCTGACACTCCCCAGTGTCAGAGCAGTGGTCACCCCTCCCTTGGCTCCTCCTTGGGACTGTCTGCAGGGGACACAGACCCCCAGCCTGTTTGCACACCCTTCTGCTGCTGGTGTCCAACCAGGGGACACCTGGCTCCCTACAGTGCCTGCCTCTGTTCCCTGGGGGCAGCTTTGCCCGGACTCACCTGCCAGGGGAGTCCTCCTCTGGTCCCAAGTTACTCCCAAACTGAGACTAAGCACATTCTGTGAATGCAGGGTTTGTAAACTATGGCCCTTTAGCTCCCAAGGTAAAATTCAGCAATGTCTGGAGACATTTTTTCGATTGTCATAACTGGGGGTGGACAGAGCTACTGGCATTTAGTGGGTGGGGGGGGGTTGCCGAACATCCTACTCTACTGGGAAGCACCCCCAGCCTCCCAGACACACAGTTAATCCCACCAAAATGTCAGTGGTGTCCCAGTGGAGAATCCATGGTTTACAGAAATAACTAATTACCTAGTGCTTTTTTTTTTTAAAGTAGGCTCCTCACCCAACTTGGGGGGGCTTGAACTCACAACCCCAAGGTCAAAAGTCAAATGGTGTACTGACTGAGCCAAGCAGCCACCCTTCGTCTCTAATGCTTTTGCATTCGTTCATCGGTTCACTTACTACGTGTCAGGACCTAGGAATACAAACATGGGTAAGCTAAAGACAGAGCTGTTGGCAGGAGGCTCACAGTCCATCAGGTTTGGCAGAATTTTAAATAGAGAACAAAGATGCACAAGGACTGTTGTTTTTCATACGAATTTGAGTACTCCGGTGTGCTTTCCATAAGCTCTCTTGTTTGGTTTTCCTGAGGAAGGTAGGAAGTGTCAGGGGAGGAGACCTCATTCTGCCTAAGAGGGTGGAAAAGGTGCTAGGCAGGGGGCATTCCAGCTTCAGAGCTGGCGTGGCTGGCCTGCAGAGATGTGACATCCTGGAAACAAATACTACGTTAAGCTGTCAGGGCAGCAGCTGGCCTCCTACAGATTTGGGCAAACTTTGTGCCCACTGAAAAGCCGATACCTCCGTTGACTGGACACCATCTGAGGGCCTTGGATGGTGAGCCCTACCTGAGCCCCACTGGCTCCTTGGCTGGGTGCATTTAGCAATTCTCAGCCTGCAGGACCAGAGTTTATTTACCAATTCATGGGGACAGAGGATGAGTAGTGGGTGTGAGAAGAAACAAGTGCTTTACTTGGGTAAGAATGGCAGCGGAAAGGGGCACCTGGGTGGCTCAGTCGGTTAAGTGTCCGACTTTGGCTTAGGTCATGATCTCACTGTTCGTGAGTTTGAGCCACATATCAGGCTCTATGCTGACAGCTCAGAGCCTGGAGCCTGCTTGGGATTCTCTCTCTCCCTCTCTCTCAAGAATAAACAAACATAAAAAAAAAAAAAAAAAGGAATGGCAGAGGAGGGACTTGATTAAGTATGTATTTTAGAAGAGGTCCCTTGGGGGGGGGGGGGAGGTGGGGAGGAAGAGAGGCATTGAAAGCAGAAAAGGCTAGAGACAGTGCTGAGGGCCTGGGCCAGGACAAGGGCAAGAGCAGACAGGAAGGGACAGCTCTGGAGACATCCCAAGGGTAGAATAGATGAGGGAAAACCTGGCAGGTGGTGCTGCTGTTTCTAGAGAATGCCAGACTGGGGCAGGAGCAGAGTAGGGGGAAGAAAACCAGCATGGTCTGAATTGGGTTTATTTGTAGGATTTCCAGCCAGAACTGCCTGGGAGGAAGTTCAGAATAGGGATTAGGAGTCTTTAGCCTAGAAGTGAGAGTTAAAATCTTGCAGGTGGTTAAAGACAGTCCTGGGGAAGAATGTGGAGAAAGGAAAGGGTGAAGAACAGAATGGAGAAAGGCCAGTGAACTATATGCTATTAGCTGACATTTACGTGCTATTTACCACCAGCCAGGCAGTGTCATAAGAACTGTATGCACAAACCTAATGCTCACAATATCCCTGGTACGGTGGGGGAGGTGAGGCAGAGATGTGGACTACTTTGCCACCGCCACTCAGTAAGGAAGCAGTGGAGCCAAGATCATGAGCCCGGCTGTCTGGTGGGAGAGTTCACCTGACCAGGCTGTAAATGGGGGCTGGAAAGAAATGGGAAGGAGAAAAGCAGGAGTGGGGCCCGGGATCGGGGACGAGACTGTTTCCGGAAGTGGACAGCAGCCATCAGCTTCTTGAGAAGCAGCCATGGAAAAGGCCAGCTGGGGGCGCACCTCTGGCGCAGGAGCTCTCAGTGGTCACCGCTGGTGGCTTGCTGCTGACAGTGTGCCGAAGGCCAGTGGGAGGCCGGTACTGCAGTCGGAGTCTGGACGTTTCCTTTCAAGAAGTTCAGCTTGAAGGGGAGGAAGAATGGCAGGGTGAGGACTGCTAAGGACGAGGTGCAGCCACTCTGCAGCACACGGTGGTGGTTTCCACTGCTTTGATGTTTCTCACAGACACTAAAGATCTCCAGCCCAAAGCTGGGAGGGGCCTAGGGAAGCCCTTTCAGCTGAATTTGGGTCAGTTTTATGCCTGTTGTTTGGGCAAGACTAACATCAGAGAGAACTGGGAGCCCCACTGGCAGGTGTCCAGGGCTTAAATCCAGTCCAGTTGCTTTTGATTCAGGGCCTGCCTTTTCCTAATCTCTTCCCCCAAATGTGCGGCCTTAATGGCAGAAAAGGAGCTGGTATTCACTTTCCGCTGCTGCGTGACAATCTACATAATCTATCTGCTTAAAATGGCCAGATATTCCCCATCCCGTAGGTCAGAAGCCAGGCAGGCTCAGCAGACTCCTCATCTTACAGTCTTCCAAGGCCAATTCAGGGCGTTTCTGGGGCGGGATCTGCTTACAAGCTCGTGGAAGTTGGTGGAATTCAGTTCCTTGTGCTCAGTCCAGGCATGAGAGCCACGAGCTACATCATCATATTCAAATCCTGGGACCTGGGCAGGACTCCTTGGGGTCTTAGAACTAGGCCACCCACAGAGCAGGCTGCAAATGGGATGATCTGAGCAGTCACTGTTTCTTTCCTGACTAGTCTTGAGATGGGGGGTGGGGGGTTTCAGGCCCACCCCCTAGGATCCCTAGGAGCCTGTTGTGGGATTATGGTTTCAGGTGCTGCAGAGGATGCAGCTAGAAGAAACCGCAGCTGCCCCCTGGCAATGTCTGGGCCCCCGGGCCTGAGCGAGGGGGCTGCCAGCACTGTCGCTGGTTACTCGTGATTTTCCACCGGCAGGACCCTCCTGCAGGAGCACGGCGGCCCACTAGGGCCAGATCCAGGATGGCTGCAGAATCGGCGGAGAGCACAGCCTGGGACGCCCAGCCCAAGGAGAACCACATGGGGCCTCTGGTGGCGACGACGGAAGCCGGAGAGGCCTCTGCCCCCGTGCGGGACGCCAGCCCCCATCGGGGTCCCGAACTCGCGCCGGCGCTTCCGGGGCTTCCGCTACCCTGAGGCCGAGGGGCCCCGCGAGGCGCTGCGCCGGCTCCACGAGCTGTGCCGCCAGTGGCTGAGCCCGGATATACACACCAAGGAGCAGATCCTGGAGCTGCTGGTGCTGGAGCAATTCCTGACCATCCTGCCCGCGGAGCTCCAGGCCTGGGTGCGGGGACAGCACCCGGAGAGCGGGGACGAGGTGGTGGTGCTCCTGGAGCACCTGCAGAGACAGCTGGAGGCGCGGACACCGCAGGTAGAGGCCCCGAGCCCGGTTTCTAACCCAAGTCTCGGGGCCGAGGGCGGGGCGTGCCGTCAACATCCGAACTTCTCTCTCTCTCTCTCTCTGCCACTCGGGTGGAGTCCCTGGGCCCCTCCTCGTAACAGAAGTTTTAGATACATGAAGGATCACAGAAGAACTCGATTATGTTGAAATACAGCCAGCAATGCATTAAACAAATGAGTGACAACGTTATGCGTGCGCTTTTTAAAATTGTTGCACTAATCAGTAAGACCTGGGCACAGGCCCAATAGCCCGGGTGCAGTTTCAAAGTCGTTAGAAGCATGAGTGACTTTGACACTGTTCGTTGTGCCGTAATGTGGTGTGAAAACATCTGCAATTTTTCTTTTTAAAAAATTTTAAGTGTTTATTTTTGAGAGAGACAGAGCATGAGCGGGGAAGGGGCAGAGAGAGAGAGGGAGACACAGAATCCAAAGCAGCCTCCATCCAGGCTCTAAGGTGTCAGAACAGAGCCCGATGCGGGGCTCGAACTGGGCCACCCAGGCGCCCCAAAACGTCTGCAATTTCTATTGGTGGCGAAGTGCGGTGGCTTATGCCACATGATCGCTGCTTCAATTTCTAATAGAAGGAAAGGCCACGTTCCCTTAGAGGCTGGTAACAATAAAACTACTCGTTTCCTATTCCAAGTTCATGGACCACATGGGAGGAGTCCAAGGATCCCAGGCTAGAGAACACCCCCGGTGGAAAACAGGTTGATCTCCCCACCTCTTCTTGCTTTGCCAGTCTGTTCTAAGGTGGTGTCCTCTGTGCACCAGTTAATGTTCCTTCAGGGGACTGCAGCCAGAGCCTCCTAACCACTGACCAGGAGATCCGGGTCTGCACTGGGGCCCGCTGCCCGCGAGCCCTTCACAGTGAAGGCGTTTCAAGTCTCTTAGCTTCAGCCTCCTCAGTCATTACAGAAGATGTGGGGAGTTCTGAGCTGCACGTGAGAAAGTAACTTGACAAGTGCAATTTGCCCATAAATGCATGAAAGCCACCTTTTAGTGGGGATAGACCGTGTGTCCTGCGTTAGGTGATTTCACATTCTGTGATCTTTCTTGGTTCTCAAAACCAGTAACAAAACCCTATAAACGAGAAATTATTACCCTCACTTGCCAGATAAGATAGGAGTATTTTGAGAGCCAGCACCGGTTCCCAAAAGTCTTTGTAAAAGCACAACGTATACAGTGTGGGAGCACCTGGTAATGGCAAAGAGCACGGGCTCTGGGGTCCCTCTGCCTGAGCGCCCATCCTAGCACCGCCACTTATTACCTGGGTGACCTTGGGAAAACTTACACTCTGTGTGCCTTCGCTTCCTCATCGGTGAAACGATCACGGTAACGGTACCCACCTCAAGGTTGATGTCTGTGTTACCTGAGTTAATCTTTTTCGTGCCCCTGGAAACTCTGAGGCACATGGGAAGTGCTCCAGAAATGTCTGACAAATAATGAAAAGGAATGAATAACCTCTAGGTCCCAGGTGGTGACCAGGGCCAAGAGCCTATCTGTTGCAAGATGGCAGCACTGACACCTTCCCGCGGATCACGGAGTGCCCAGTTCCAGCCGGTGAGGGCTCTGCTCAAGCATGAATCTCTGGGATCACGGGCCTTACCAGGCACAGGTGAGTGTTCTCTTCTGGGCGTGTGAACCTGCAGACTTCGTCCAGCTTTACTGACGATCATCTGATAGGGGCGCTGACCGCGACGTTATTTGGCCATCACTGACGGACTCTACTTTGAGACTGAAAGGGAAATTTGAAACGGTGGTTTGGAAAGAATCGGTTCCCCATTCATTTAACACGTAATTATGCCTCCTACGTGGTAGCCAGTGTGGTTGGTGCTGAGGACCGGCCGCTGGTGAGACAGAGTCCTTCCTGGTGGCACTGGGGTTTACATTCGAGTGGGGAAGACAGCACATACACACGACAGTACAGCTTCCAGTAGTGGTAAGTGCCAAGAAGAAAACGAACAGACTCTGTAAAGCCCGTCGGAATATCCCACAGACTACAGGACTACCGCGGATTAGAGTATAAATGTCTCAACCCTGGGTCTCTTATGAAAATAGCAGGGTTTACTCCACAGGACTGGCTGTATGTCCTGCGGTGTCTTCTCACGTGCCCTGAACGTGTCCCAAGACACACAGCACTGAGACGCCGGCCAACACGCAGTCCTGACTTCCAACACGGGCTCTAGCTAAACCAGCTGTTTTGTGCTCCATGTAAAGTTTGCCTCCTCCAGGGAGACCTCGGGTTCTTCTGGACGCTGAGCAAGTTCTGTACAAGCAGATGCCCATTTCTGCCTTCTGGTTCCAGCTTTATTTTGACTCTAGTTCTTCCAAACCAAAGCAGAAAGCCCTTACTGACCCCTGAAGGCATTTTAACCGAAATCTTACTTTTCTCCCCTTCGCAAGCAAAACCCAGAGTATCTTCAGATGAAAAGCTTGTTTTATGTGGTTTAAACTCACCATCCCTTCCAAGGATCCTGCCGTTTTTGCATAGATTTTGTGTGTCGGCAGAGCACAGCACAGGTCTCTAGGCCCTGGGACTGGAGCGGGTAGGGATCGGGCCTTTGGGAAGGCACACGCTGTACGAAGTTCCAGGCCCAGTGTTTGAGCTTGGATTCCGCAGGCCAGGGAGGCTGAGTGCCAGGGACGTCTCATCCAGAGCTTCTTTCCTTCCTAGTTCTCCAGGGTCCTGGGCTTGCCCCGGGAGGGCGCTGCAGAGGAGACGCAGTGGTGGCGGCCAGGCTGCCCCCAGAGCCCCAGGTGAGCCGGAGCCCCTCCCTGCCCCTCGCTACCGGGGTGCATCCTGGGAGGGTCGCCCCCTCCCCGTCTACATCCTCCAGCCAAACGCCAGATGGGATGTCAACTTTCTCGATATGCTAGTGTCATCTGTTGCTGTCTGACTTCCTGGTGCCTAGTTGGGAGCCTCGTCCTATTTCATGACTAGCTTGGGTGCTGTTTCCCAGACCCCTACTCCGTGTCCTTGGCCAGCCCCTTCTTCAGTGGGATCTTCTTCATCAGTAAGGGTGATTCTGCAAAAGCAAACTGAAGCTTTTGTTGCGACGGTGCTTTTGTTCCGAAGGTTTTCTTTTGCTTTCCTGCCCTGTTACCGGGGGGTAACCACGTGGTCCCTAAGCTTGCCGGGACGGATACGGCATGCCCACGTGTCTCAACTAGTCACACGACCGCAACAGTCTGTACTTAAACTGGATTGAACTTCTTACCCGGTCCTTCACGCCCTGGAGGCTCTGTGGTGTCCACTGGCTTCCCTGACTTTCCTCACTTCAGACCCACGTTTCAGTGTATCTGCATAACTGTTAATACAAATCAGCCACATCACTAGCGGGGGTCAGTTCCGGTCCTTGCAGTGGCGTGGCCTTCGTTTTACAAATCTCTTTACCTTCTACCCTGGTGTCCGGATTATTTGCGTGGTGACCAGGGTGTCCGGCTTATTTGTGTGGAGACGCGGGCGTCCGGAGTATTTGTGTGGAGACACGGGCGACTGGCGTATTTGTGTGAAGACAGCGGTGTCTGGAGCACTTGTGTGGAGACACCTGTCCTCACGTGCTGTCACTCTACTTCCGCAGTGGTTTTGTTGATGAAGCCGTCACTTAAGACCGGGAGAAGTAGCGTTAGGTGCCGCGCTGGCTTGGTCTGCGGAGCCTTCAGGGACTGTCCCCTCACCGCCTGAGCCCCTCTGCGCAGCCCCCGGCTCCGGGAGGGACTCTGGGCAAGAGGAACTAGGAGGCCCGTGTGCCGTTTCAGGGCTTGCTGAAAACGGAAGACGTGGCCCTGGCTTTCTCCTCTGGCTGGGCGCAGCTCGATTCCTCTCGGGGGAGCTTCCACGGAGATGAAGGGCGGGAGAACCCTGGCGGCCTGACCTCCCCGGGTAAGACTGACGGGGGCTGGTTCGTCGTAGGCTTTCGTGGCTTCCTTTGTCGGTTAGAACCTACTGGGCCGTAAGACGCTGTCTGAATTCTGTCTGCGTTCAGAGCCGCCGTTTCTGAACCCAGCTACTAACCACGTGCGTGACCCGATCTTTCACCCTCCCGGCCCGGCTCCCTTCCCTTTCCTGCTGCGTCCTGGCCGGGTTAAGTGGGACACGGCAGGGAGAGCCCCGAGCACAGTCCTGGCTCCTAGTAGGGCTGTCACCGTTGGTCCCCTCTCTGTTGCTAGTTCCGACACAGGACGAGAGCTGGGGTGTCCTCAGGAAATGGGCCGTGGGACTGTAGGGCGAGAGCGAGAAGTGAGCTAGAGATCGGGGTGCAGGACACACGGGACAGCCTGACCCGTCTGAGCTCGTGCAGCTCGACCATGGTGCAGCAGGAGCTCTGGCTCAGATCTGTCAGCACCGAAGCCCGTCGTGTCGGGGCCCCTGTCTTCGTCTGGGATAAGAGCCAAGAGGACCGTCCCTGACCGACGATCGCTTTCTACGTGCCTGCTCTCCTTGTGTCGCACGGAACACTTCCAAGTCCTCACGCGTGCCTGCTTACCGCTGCCATCTGCCCAGCCCTCCTCGAGTCCAGCCCCAGTGCAGGGCCCTGCCTTCGTCCTCAGGACTTCGAGCCTCTGCGAGTGTCCCCAGCACGGTCCTGCCCACCCTCCTCCACCCCCCATCACCCTGCTTCCAATGACCCCAGGCCCGTTCTCAGTCTCCTTCCTCCCCAGCACCCGTTCTCCCCTTCGTCCCCATCCTCGTTCTTGTACGGAAACCCTCATCCCCGCGTATGTGGAACTGTAGTCACAGCTTTCCTGCGTGGCAGGGCATCACTGACCACGTGTGGCCACTTGTTATTTCAGGTGGTGAAACAGAGGCCGAGATCCGGGCCCTGCCTGTGGACGAGGTCCGGCCAGTACAAGAGGCTGGGGGAATACCACGCCCCCTGCGTGAAGACACTGCCCAGATTCCTGAAGGCACCGAAGCTGGCGAACAGGAGGGCAGGTTCCCGAGAAAGCAGAAAACTGCCACAGGAAGTAGGCGGCACTACTGTCATGAATGTGGAAAGAGTTTTGCTCAGAGTTCAGGCCTGACTAAACACAGGAGAATCCACACCGGGGAGAAACCCTATGAATGTGAAGACTGTGGCAAGACCTTCATCGGGAGCTCTGCCCTCGTCATCCATCAGAGAGTCCACACTGGGGAGAAACCCTATGAGTGTGAGGAGTGTGGCAAGGTGTTCAGTCACAGCTCAAACCTCATCAAACACCAGAGAACCCACACTGGGGAGAAGCCCTACGAGTGTGAGGAGTGTGGGAAAACCTTCAGCCAGAGTTGCAGCCTCCTTGAACATCACAAAATCCACACAGGGGAGAAGCCGTACCAGTGCAACATGTGCGGCAAAGCTTTTAGGCGGAATTCACATCTCCTCAGACACCAGAGGATCCACGGCGATAAAAATGTGCAGGATCGTGAATGTGCAGGGACCTGGGAGAGTCAGGGGAGGGTGGAAAGCCGGTGGGAAAACGTTGAGGCTCCCGCATCTTACACATGTAACGAGTGTGACAGGAGTTTCACTCGGAGTAGAAGCCTTATCGAACATCAGAAAATCCACACTGGTGAGAAACCCTATCAGTGTGACACATGTGGGAAAGGCTTCACCCGAACTTCATACCTTGTTCAACACCGGAGGAGCCATGTTGGAAAGAAAGTTCTATCACAGTGAGCCACGTCATACATGCCAGATTTGTTCATTCCTCACAGAACTGGGCTGAGGCTTTACTGACCGCTACATGCCATCTTGTGTTAGAAGGCCGAGTCTGGAGGGATGCATTGTCTTCTACATTCTAGAAGGTGGCTGGGAAACAGCTTGTTTGATAGGAGGCTCTGGGAGAGTTGTCTGGAAGAGATAGGACATGAAATGATTGTTCTCACCTACTGGACTGAAATGGGCCTCCAGACTGGCTGACCACCTCCAGCCAGCACTTGATGACGTCTCCTGGCGAGATGGCTCTGATGTGGGGGCTCCTGCTGTGACTGTTCATTTTCCACATAATGGGTCCTCCACAGTCAGATTTGTGACATCTTATGCCTCCCAGTGTGCCTTAAACACAGGTGCTAATAAACATTAAATTTAACACTGAAATGACCTTTGTAGATCTGCATCACAATACCAACTAGATTTGTGAGGAACTTCTCATGAAATCTGGTGGAGCTTGTGTCTAATTCGGAGGCTCTAGACTCTGAGTTAATCTAGTGCATTTTTTGCCAATCAGAGGATTGGCAGTGGGGTGCGTGTGGGGTTACTGTGATAGAAGGAATCCGATTTCTTGCCCAGACTAGGAATTTTCATGTGAATACCTCAAACAGGCTCTTCATCATTAAATCACTGTGAATGTGTGCCACTCTTGGGATTCCATTCTTTAATATCACTAGTCTTTGCAGAGAAAATAGTTCTATGCGGACTGTATGAAAATTAATCAAATCAAAATAAAATGATAAATTCTCTAATGCTCAGCATCTTGATTCTCACCTTTTCGTTCTCTTGGGCCCAGTGCTCTCTAAAGCTACAGACACTATCCTGCCCATAGCCCACTCCACCGAAAAGGATAGACCGAGTCACGACCTACGCCTCCTAAGTTCAAACTTCCTTTAGGTCGGTAGATTCATACCAAATATTTAAAGCAAGTATTAGTTAGGCTTCAAAATTCCATTATTAATGTGGGACCGTCTTGGTCTTAAATATTAATTTCCATGTCATCAATGTGGTACCATCTCCTTAATTATTCACGATGAGAATTTTAGCCATGAAGTTAATTCATGAGGCTATCTACTTTCCTTAATATTTAAAAAAAAAATTTTTTTTTTAAATTTTAGAAAGAGAGAGTGTGAGCAGGGGAGAGGGACATAGCAGGCACCATGCTCAGCACGTAGTCCAACAAGGGGTTTGATCCCACGACCCTGGGATCATGACCTGAGCCGAAATCAAGAGTCAGACACTCAACTAAGCCACCCAGTCAACCCTATCACTTTTCTGAAGCACACTTTGTAGACTGTCCTTTCTTCCCCCTCATGATAGTCAAATTTTGTGAGAAAAATTTTTGCAAGTCAGCATTACAGAAGAACAGTGACCCTTGAACAACAGTGGTTTGAACTGCACAGGTCCACTTATTTGCAGATTTTTTTCGATAAATACAGTACTGTCAGTATATTTTCTTTTCCTTACTATTAGTAACATTTTCTTTTCTCTATTTAATGTAAGAAAATAGTATATAATTATATATAGCAAAAAATACATGTTAATTGACTTTATTTTTGTCTTCTGGGCAACAAGCTATTAGTAATTAAGTTTTGGGGGAGTCAAAAGTTATGTGCAGATTTTCAACTGGACAGGGGTTGCTTTCCCAAGCCCCACATTGTTCAAGAGTCAACTGTAGTATTTATTTTTTATTTTTTATTTTTTCAGCGTTTATTTATCTTTGGGACAGAGAGAGACAGAGCATGAACGGGGGAGGGGCAGAGAGAGAGGGAGACACAGAATCGGAAACAGGCTCCAGGCTCTGAGCCATCAGCCCAGAGCCCGACGCGGGGCTCGAACTCACGGACCGCGAGATCGTGACCTGGCCGAAGTCGGACGCCCAACCGACTGCGCCACCCAGGCGCCCCTCAACTGTAGTATTTTTATTTATTTATTTTTGAGAGAGAGAGAGAGAGAGAGAGAGAGTTTGAGCAGGGGAGGGGCAGAAAG